TTTAGTGAGGAGAGGGAGCAATTTGGATGGGATGTTAACACGAGCATCTTGGACATCAATTTTCATTGCATTTTTCTTGGCTAGCTTTCTTTTAGGTATTTGTCTTTTTATTAACAGCCTTGTAAAAGCTAAAATCAACTAAAAGACATCAAACCGTGTGCTTCCTGATTGCTGTCAGGCTCAAAGGGCAGTTAGTAAAGATAGGCTTTCATGTTATTAATTATTAGTGCTTACAGCAAAGAGTAAAAACATCTGTGGGAATTTTCATTTGTCCACATGTTTATTACATTGGTTTAAACCCTACTTCAAAAAACAAAAACCCCCAAAGAAGTGTTTTGCAAAGGGTAGCATTTGGAATGCTTGCTTCAATTATGGCCCCAAGTGTCCATAATGGATGTAGCTGGCATATACCCCGCCATACTCCTCCCTCTTCCTAGGGGCTTGTTCTGCCCTTTTGTAATTGGCTGGACTTTATAAAGCTCGTTTCTTGGTTCGTCATCTCCATTAGCATGGTATTTTAAAGGACCTGGGAGGTAATACAATCTTACATTCAGTGATCTTACATCCCATGTACTTTCTCTGCTCAAATTTAATTTTAAATTTAAGAGAAGAGGTTATGCACTGCTTGCACATACGTGCTCTAATTTGACTTGCCCAGGGTATCAAGGGTGAAGGACTCAGGAGAATTTCTACCTGTTTAAAAATGAAGAGGTTGAGGAGCAGCGAGAAGTTTGATTGTTGACCCAAGACCATCTCCTGGCTACTGAATAACATACACCGTTGTGGGGTCTTATCTTGTCAATACAGCAGCCATTGTTACCACTAAATACCTCGACCTCCAGAGCTCTGGAAGTAACTGACCATGAAAGCTGAGCTCTAAATGGGACATCCAGAGCATCCCCTCCAAGGCTTCTTCAGCGAGAGGGCAGAAGCTTTGAGCGCTGGAGGAAGGGAAAGGTGTTGTGGAATGCTTCTTTTTGAATGGGGCATGGCTGTTGCACTCCGGCTCTGTGCTGCACAGGACTGTTAGCGAGGAGGGAGGGATTACATGAGGCCCCATCCCTTCCCGAGGCTGCTGGTACAGTTTGTGCTTGTCTGAAGAAGGAGAGATGTTTTCCTCCGTGGTATAACTGCTGGTGTGGTATCCATGGCCCATAATAACCCCTCACTCAGGCTTCTATTAGCAATGCTAATTAAACTCAGTGGGCCACGAAGAGAGAGACAGAGAGAGAATGTGAGTGTGTGTGTGTGTGTGTGTGTGTGTGTGTGTGTGTGTGTGTGTGTGTGTGTGTGCACCCATTAAGGGAAGAGGGACTGCTTGGGAAGAGAAGGGGATTAGCAGAAGTGAGAAGACAAGAAAGGGTAATGAAGGTTTAAATGTGATCAGAATACATTATATGATGTGTGAATGTGTCATACTGAAACGCCCCTTGTATATAATTCATATGTGCTGATAAAAACCATTCACAAAGCACTAACTTGACCACTAGCGAAGCTGTGGTGTTTGTACTTTGACTCCCATGTCAGCTCTGCATCTCATCTGCAGTGTTGAGGCTGGACCTGGATTATTCCCTTCACAGTCCTTTGGTATTTTTGACCTTTTACTCCATGGGATATAGTCATGCATCTTCTACTTGTTTTCAAAGAAGATGGGCTGGGGTGGGTTTGAGAGATAGCTCAGAAGTTAAGAGCACTGGCTGTGCTTTCAAAGGATCCAGGTTCAATCCCTAGTACCCACATATTGGCTCACAACTAACTATAATTCCAGTTCCAGACCATCTGACACCCTCTTCTGGTGCCGGGGTGCACATGGTGCACAGATATACATGCAGACAGAACACCCACACAAATAAAATAAATTGAAAAAGAGAGGTTGGAATAGTTGGTTTGTGTTTTATGGATGATGCAATTGAAACTCAAAAGAAGTTTCTTATCATTGCTCGCATATCCCATTAGTTAAAAACTGCTAAGATTAGAACTCAGAGCTGGAGACCAAAAATTTATAATCCCCCATATTTTTAACAATTAAAATTTCCTCTCTTAGAAGAATATCTCAGTTTGGAAGTGGTTGTCTCCCCTCCCACCCCCATGGACGTAGTTTTGATGGAAAACAAGAAAGCTTGGTTAAAGAATAAATTATGTGCTCTAGTTTTACCAGGATTTTCAGAGTCCAGTTAACAGAAACAGAATCAGTGTGGTTGCCTTTTGTATACCTTTAAGTGATAACATTAGTAACCTGGCAGCCTGACAACTCATTGGAATGCCAAATAAAATTTACCTATCTGTTCACCAGCAATTTCAGGAAATATATATATATATATATATGTGTGTGTGTGTGTGTGTGTGTGTGTGTGTGTGTATACATACACACATACATATACATATATACATATATATATATATATATACACAAACACACACACACACTGACTGGAGTGGCCAGCTGAAATACAGGGCACTGGTTAAATTTAAATTTAAGATACCATTTACAATAAAATAGTTATTCCTTATTTTCTTCAAACACACTATTACCTGGGTGACTTCTTTTTCTGTTACACTCTAAACCCTTACAATGACTATTCTTTCATGTATACTCATTGTACGTTTTTTCAGTGCAATTTTTTTTTTTATTTATAAAATATGGCCTGTTTCCACAGAAATAGGGGCATGCTGGGATTTCATTAGAAATTTTTAAGGATACTGTCCTCAAGAATCTCTTTTTCTTTGGGTTCTCTTGAGTTCCTATTTTTTTTAATAGCATATTTGTAGCATGACATTTGCTATGATCCAATGTAGAGAATAAGAGAAAATGTTGTCATGAGTGATCATATTCTTTCTGTGCCTTCTTTGTTTAAATTTGGTTTTGACTTTCACATTTGTTTAAATTAATGAGATGCCGTCTTCACGACTGGCAGTGACGGATACCCCAAGGAAGTCTCTGGTTTCCTATATCATAGCACCAGGAATAGGAGGCCTGGTTATGCCACCAGATTGTAGAATAGATTCAGTTCAGACATTTAAATTACTTTCATAGTGTAGAAAGTAAGATTGTTAATGTATTCTTCACCAGGTTTAAAGAAAATGATACTTTTGGTTTTTTTTTTTTTTTTTCAGAGTTTCTCTGTGAAACCCTGGCTGTCCTGAAACTCACTCTGTAGACTAGACTGGCCTTGATCTCACAGAGATTCTCCTGCTTCTGTCTCTTAGGTGCTGGGACTAAAAACATTCACCACTGTGCCTGGCTGATACTTATTTTAAATAAGTAATTGACTATTTCTCAAAATCCATTATCATTGAGGAAGAGATAGGGAAATAGGTATAACCTAGATTGTAGAAGTGACTTGCCTTGCTGTCACTACCCTCCAGGCCTGGCTTCAGTGACCCACAACCTAACACCTCAGCACTGTGAAGCTGAGACAAGAGAATTAAGAGTTCAAGGCCAGCCTTGTGTACATAGTGAGACCCTGTTTGAAAAATCAAAATAGTGGATATTCTGTGTAATTTTCTTGAATCCTGCATACCATATTGTTTTTTAACTTTAAGTTTTCATTGCAGTACTTTAGACATATCCACATGAGGGGATGTGAAAAAATAAAATCTCATGGATGATCCTGTGATGGTTTGAAAGAGAGTGGCCTCATGGGGTTGTGTGTTTGATTATGTGGTCCTGGTTGGTGGAACTGTTTGGGAAGGATTTGGAGGACTGCTGAAAGAGGCTTGCTAATGAGGTCAGGCTTTGAGGGTTCAAGCGACTGGCACCATTCTCAGATGCCTTTCTGCCCCCAACTTGCAGATCAAGGATAAGCTCTGGGCTGTTCTGCCGCCACTCCTTTGCTCTCTACCCATTGTGGACTCTAACCCTCTGAATCCATAAGCTGCACATTAAATGCCTTCTTTTATAAGTTGGCTTGGTCATAGCGTTTTATTACAGCAATAGAAAAGTAGCTAAGAGAGTAATTGGTACCAGGGAGCGGTCTACTGCTTTGACAGGCCTGACCATAGTGTGTTTTTGGAGGACTGTGGAAGACTCTGGGACTCTGGCCTAGGAAAGCATCTGGTCGCTGTAAGCAAGGCTTCATGGACCATCTTAGTAGGATTTGGAAGACAGCAGTGTTGAGAGCGATGTGAAAGCCCAACTCAAGAGGTTTCAGAGGGGAACACTCTTAGCAACTGGGCTAGGAAGCATTCTTGTGCTGTTTTGGCAAAGAACGTGGCTACATTCTGCCTTCGTTCTACAAATCTGCCTGAGGAAAAATTGAAAAGTATTCATTTCCTTGGTGCAGGAGATTTTAAGACCACTTAATATTGACTCTGTCTCATGGTTATTAGTAATCACCCTATGTCCATCTATAGTGAAAAAGAGAAATCAGAGAGAGAGAGAGAGAGAGAGAGAGAGAGAGAGAGAGAGAGAGAGAGAAATGCAAAATGTACAGTTGGAAGAGAAAAATAATACCAGAAAATTTAATGTCAAGGCTTGTGTTGAAAGAGATGAGAAAAGTAAAGAAAGAACTGATTCAAAATGGAACAGAGGGAGGGGGACCCTTAGCTAAGCTTCCAAGGAATTTTCTGTTTTTAAAAGGACACAAAAATTAAGCTGAGAAGAACCCAAGGTCTAGTGTGGTCACACACTCTAGCACCGAGCCTCAGTCCCAGCTCACGTGATGATCATTTATATTAGTGCACAGACTATTGTTAATGTCTGCCTAGAGCCCTTTGTGGCCGGGCTGTATATAGCTGGCCATGTTGCAACGGGAATGCTGCTGGTCTTTGCTACAGCGTATGGTATTGCAGTCAAATACCCTTGAGTTTCTTTTGTCACCCTCTAAAGGAGCTTTCTTAGAGAAATTATCATCCACAGAGATGTTCATATATATTTTTTAATGTATCTGGAAAGAGTTGAGAGTGACTATAACTACATTGACAGGATTTTTGTAAGCTTTAGAGGGTAATACCCTTTTTTCCTCAAATATCTAAGCTGTCTACATGGTTTTGCTCTGCAGAGAAATGGTCAACGCATGGTTCTCAGAGAGAGTTCACAACATCCCTGTATGCAAGGAAGGCATCCGAGCCCACACGGAGTCCTGCGCCTGTTCTTTGCAGCAGAGTTCTCAGGCAGACAATACCACCGCTGGAGCACCAGCCAGAAAAATCTCTGCCTCTGAATTTGACCGGCCTCTTAGACCCATTGTAGTCAAGGATTCCGAGGGAACTGTGAGCTTTCTTTCTGACTCAGGAAAAAAGGAACAGATGCCACTAACCCCCCCAAGATTCGATAGTGACGAAGGGGACCAGTGCTCCAGACTCTTGGAATTAGTAAAAGATATTTCCAGTCATTTAGATGTCACGGCCTTATGTCACAAAATTTTCTTGCATATCCATGGACTCATTTCTGCCGATCGCTATTCCCTGTTCCTTGTTTGTGAGGACAGCTCCAAAGACAAATTTCTTGTCAGCCGCCTCTTTGATGTCGCTGAAGGTTCCACACTGGAGGAGGCTTCCAATAACTGTATCCGCTTGGAGTGGAACAAAGGCATTGTGGGACATGTGGCAGCTTTTGGTGAGCCCTTGAATATCAAAGATGCCTATGAGGTAAGTAGGGGTCCACAGAACATCAAACAGTGATTGCGAGGAATGCTGGGAAGGTGGGAGGTTGAGATGGAATAATTTGCAGAGCTCTTTAAAACTGGATGTAGACAGGGCTGCAACTCAGTAGTAGAGTATTTATTATGCACTATTGCACTGAATCTCCACCACTCAGAGGAGTGGGGAGATTCAAAAACAAAAGCAACCAAGTGTATGGTAGGTTGCTAGCTTGCCAGTGCCAGCCTTCCTTCCTTAGTACTAGGCAGGAAGTGTTTTCCATTAAAAATAATGTGAGCAAATCCATCTCATATTTGTAATCTGATGATTATTTCTATGCGAATTTAGGGATTTTAAGCTGGGATTCTAAAATGATAAGTTCAAAACCTGTCAAAATAAACAAACAAACAAGCCTGGCACCTTCTTCTCCTTCCAGAAAAAAACTGCCATCTTTTGAAAGCCCCACTGACACCAAAGATTGGTTTTCTTTCCTTCCATCTTTCTTTGTCCTGTGTCTATTTTTCAGATCGTTCTCTTGAGGGCTCCAACTCAGTCGCAGTTAGCTGATGACTAAATGCCGGGAGACCTGGATATTGCTCAGTTTTTAGTATTAGACTTTTATTTGCAAAGATACAAGAAAACTTTATGTTTCTATGTCCCTGACTTCAGAAATATTGTCAATATCAAATTTCATTTTTCTGTTTTCTTTAAATTCGTAAAAAAAAAAAAAACGCTTTATTATAATGAATTTACCAATTAAAATACCATGCATCTAGATTAACATAGTCATTCAGACTAACACTTGGTTAAGTCCCAAATGCTATATATCTAATGAATAAATACTATTCTATTAAAATAGCCATTCTGAAGCCATGGAGCTTATGTTTTATACTTTTACTAGCCATTATTTCTGTGCTTTTATCTATAAAAGTTTGCTTTGTGTCCTTTACCTCAGTCTTGTTCTTCATCATTAATATTAATGTTTCTTCTCTTCTCTAGATGTTCCCACACTATATTTGTTTATGTATATAACATATACTTTATAGGCTAGGGTCCACATATGAAGGAGAACATTTGTTTTTCTGAGCTTGTGTGACCTTGCAAATATTATGCATTTTGTCTAACCACCTTCCTGTAATTTTTCTTTCACTTTTCAATAGAACTGAAAAATATTTTATATATTTCCCAGATTTTCATTGTCTATCTATGATGGGCATCTTGGTTCTAGCGTCTTGCTATAATAAACAGAGCAGTGATAAACACGGAGAGGGTAAGGAGGTCTCTGGGTCTGTGGCTAGGAGTGAAATGGCTGGGTCATAGATAGGTCTATCTGTTTTTAATTTGGGGGAACCTACAAGTTGATTTTCATAATGACTGTAGTAATGTGTTCCCTACCAGCAATGAGTAAGGTTCCTTTCCTCTAAGTCCTCTAACATTTTATTGTCAGATTTCTTTTTTCTATTTTTAAGATTTATAAGAAAGTTTATTTTATGTGGATGAGTGTTTTATCTGCATGGAAGTATGTGCACTGTGTACATTTCTGGTGAGGCCAAAAAAAGGGTACTGGATCCCCTAGAATTAGAGATACTGACTATGTAGATGCTGGGAATCAAACCGGGGTCCTGGAGAAGAGCAGGAAGTACTCTTTACTACTGAGCCATCTCTCCAGCCCCTCTCGTCAGATTTCTTAATTACAGCCATTCTGAAGAGTGAGATGGTATCTCAAAATATTTTAAATTTCTATTTATCTAATGAGTAGGGATGTTGAACATTTTAGAACAGTCATTGTCTGTGGTGATATACTATTCATATTATATATATTATTATCTGTAGCGATATAGTATTTTATATATATATTTATTAAAGCTTGCCTGAGGGTTCAGAAAGCAAAGCTAGCCACAAGCCATAATGGTCAGGGAATGGTGATATACACCTTTAATCCCAGCAGCCATACTAGAAAGCCATAGAATCAGGCAGTGGTGGCACACACCTTTAATTCCAGATCTTAGGAGACAGGCAAGCGGATCTCTCTGAGTTCAAGGCCACCCTGGCCTACACAGAAGTGAAGAGTAACAGAGCTCTTTAATCCCAGCACTAGGGAGGTAGAGGCAGGAGTGATATGGCTGGGCAGAGAAAAGAATAAAAGGCAGGAGGAGACAAGAACTTGGAGCTTTTGCCTCTGAGCATTTGTGGCCATAGCATTGTCTCCGAGGATCTGTGGAGACAGGATAGGCATTTCGGCTTGGTAGAGGTAAGAGCTACTGGCTTTGCTGTTTTGCTTCTCTGATCTTCAGCTTGAAGCTAGAACCCAATATTAGTTTCTGTGTTTTTACTTTTTGTGCTTAAATTGTCTGTTTCCTATGTTTTTTCCTTCCTTCCTTCCTTCCCTCCTTCCCTCCTTCCTTCCTTCCTTCTTTCCTTCCTTCCTTCCTTCCTTCCTTCTGAAACTGTTTATTCTGCTCATTAGCCCAGTTCTTAATTGGAATTAAATTTCTGCAGTTCTTCATACATCCTGGTTATTAGCCCCTGCCCGAATGATAAAGATCTCTGCCATTCTGTGGCTGTCAGTGTGCTCTGATGGGAGTTTCCTCAGCTGTGCAGACACTTGAATTTTACACAGTCCCATCTGTTGATGGGCTCTTGCGAGGCTAGTCCTTATGTCAGTGTAGTTCATTTCAGTAAGCTCTTCTGTGTCCACTATCTTGAAGAGCATTCATTGCTTGCTTTTAGTACGGAAGACATCTGTAAATCTGAGAGTAGAATATCAAAAGTTCCCTGCTATTATTATGCCAAGACTTTATGCCTTATAGTGTTTCTTTTATGAAAGTAGAGCCTCTAATATTTGCTGTATTATACATGTCTAGAATTGCTATCTCTTGATGAATTATTCACTGTATTAATATATAGCTTCCTTTGGTTTTGGTTTGAAGTTTACTTTATTTAACACAAGGAAAGCTAAGCCTGCTTGTTTATGGCTTCCATTTATTTAGTAGTTTGTTTTCCATATTTTAATACGAGACTTTGGATATCTTTCCTGGCTTATTGTGTTTCTTGGAGACAATATATAGTTGGTTCTTGTTTTTAAAATCCATTTCATTAGTCTGCATCTTTGATTCGTAAGTTGAGGCCATTTGTATTTAAAGTTATTGTAGAAAAGGATTTGCTATTTTCTATGAATGTTAGGTTTTTTTTTTTTGTTGCTGTTGTCTTGCTGGGTCATTAGCATTACTTTTCCTCTTCCATTAGTTTTGAGGGTTTTCTGATTTGCTGTGCGAGATGTGTTTGCTTTATTTTGTCTTTCTGTTCCTTTCATGGAGTATACACTTTCATGCATTCTTCTGAAGGAGCTTCTTTCTTCTTCCTCCCGTAAAGTATTCCATGAAGAATTTCCTTCAGTGCTGGTTTGGTTGTCATGTATTGCCTTAATTTATGTTTGTCTTGAAATACCCTTTCTTCTCCATCAATTTGAAAAGATAACTTTGCTGGGTATCTCATTCTTGGTTCACACTTATTTACTTCTAGAACTTGAAATATTTAATTCCATGCTATTCTGACTTTTATGGTTTCTGAAAATTCTGAGGAAAATTTTGATAGTCTTTTGTCTTCCTCATGCTGCTTTTAAGATTTTTGTTTTGTTTTGTTTTTATTTTCGATGTCCTAACTCTGCTGTTTCCTGGAGAGTTTTCTCATTCATTCTGTTTGGAGTTCTGTATACCTCTTATGTTTGGATGTCTGTTTCTTTAAGTTTGCTGTTATTATTTTTTTATTTTACCTTTATTCCTTATTCCACATTATGAATATTCAGGTTTAGACTCCCGGATGTATCACGGGATTCTTGGAAACACATTCCTGGTTCTTAATATTTTTTCTTTATATATATCTATTTGTATTATTGTTTTGATTTTGTCTTCTATTTTTGTACTTCATGGTCTTGTCTGTTAATGATGGTGCTTACTGTTATTTTTAAATTGATCTTATCATTCACTTCAAGTGTTTCCATTTCTTTCTTTTTCAATGTTTCAATCTCCTTGCTGATTTTTTTCCCCATATTTTGGACTTCCCCTTTCAGTTTACTGTTTTACTGACCTTGGAGGTTGTCTTGTTGAAGTCTTAGATTTTGTTAATTCATTCATCTGTTTGTTTGCAAATGATTAATATTCTTTTTAAAAGCAAGACTCAGAATTCTTTCCCAGTCACCCAGCCATCTTTGGGCTTTTGGATTCTCTAAAAGGGGAGCTGATCAGTTGGGATGTTTCATGGTGGTAGCTATATTGTTTGTTGGAGTGAGTTTGTCTTCCAGTGTTTACTTCCCTTTGTTAAGAGTCTGTGTGAATGGTTTGTTCTGTGTGGGACATTTGTATGAAGTACAGCTGTGGGGATTGGTGAGACTTGGTGATGATTGTCAGATGGAGTCGCTGAGGTGATATAGTGTTTACCTGTGTGCCAATAGGACCAAGGGTAGGCTGTACACTGAAATCCAAAGCAACCAAGGGTAGGCTGTACACTGAAATCCAAAGCAACCAGATGCAGTAAAAACTTTGGTCATTCCTTTGATTTTGTGAATCTTTTGGAGATAAGAGACATGATACCTACTGAAGTCTTTCTAGTGTGTGGAGGCTGTTGTTAGAGCCATAGGCCCAGAGTAACCCACAGCAGTATAGTCTCTTAGTCCTTGAGGGACTACTGGAATCCCAAAGTCAAAATCCCACACCCACACTGACCTTAACACCACCGGGGCTAAGCCTCTGTCTCTCAGGGGGTCCTGAGCACACTGTAGCTGAAGCTCTGGCCTTGCATTGGCCCTGGAGGTCTCTGGGGCTAGATGTCCCAGGTCCCACTGGAGCCAGACATCTTTTTCTTGTCTTTTTAAACAAGTAAACTTCTACATATGTTCTTTTTAAGTGTGAATTTTGATGTATTTTAATGAAAAGTTTTGATAGCTCTGCATTTATTACAGTTATTCACAGGTCTTTAATTTGTTTTCAAATTTCCCATCTAAAATGTCTTAT